TGATCAAACACCATCTGTCACGGATTCTATTTCTCAGATCTAAATAAAAACTTCCTAAAAAATGTAATCACGGATATTCCCACGAAACGGCCATAGTGTAGAAGTAAGGTAGGGTCAGGCTGTGCCAAATATTTTTTTCCACAAAATCTATCAGTATCACTTCCCACTGCTTAGCACGGCTACAGCCAGTGCACCACTCAGACCTACCTGTGCCTCATCAACACTAATTGGTAGCCTTTAAGCACAAGGGGGTTATCCCCAAAAAATTATGTTTTGAGTTTGGAGAAAATCGAAGGTAAAGTTTTTGGATCCTTGTTCAGTTTCTTTAAAAGACAAAGAGAGTTTTCTCTATAACCAAACAAATATACACACTAATGACACCAAACTTCTCCCGTAGGTAGGGTAATGCCTACTTTTGGTGTATGTCAAGATTACTGGAAACCTCCGAAATCTGGGTTAGCCCGCTTGTCCTTAAAAGCGACCAATTACTGCCATGAAATGCCAGGATACAACTAATATTTTTCAAAAATTTGGCTTCCAAAAATAACCACGCTGCAAATTATTGGAAACAATAGCAACAGTTGGTCATTCGACAAAGTGTGGTGTTGCAACCATTGATTAACTCACTCATTGCTTAGCTCTCACACGGCCTTGCTACTTTTCAGTTCTTCAATCAATGTCTCTTCAGGCCCCCATTTGACACAATCTAGGAGATTGCATACAATGTAGATCATTTAGGAGACAGGCTTCAATCCTGCCTATCAGGGCCAAACCGTGCTGAGAGAGAGAGAGAGAGAGAGAGAGAGAGAGAGAGAGAGAGAGAGAGAGAGAGAGAGAGAGAGAGAGAGAGAGAGAGAGAGAGAGAGAGAGAGAGACAGACAGAGAGAGAGAGACAACATTCCAGCAGAAAGACTGAGATACTCCATAAAACTTCCTTCTATCCTCTCCACTGAGGAATCAGAATCGGGTCTTCTGCATGTGACCACGAAGTGCATAAACGTTACACCGCAGATGCCAGTACCGGTATGCCACGATACGTAAGGAAAAACCAAATCTTAGTAATAAGTAAGAGGGCCAAAGGCAAAAGCCTGCATACAATCAAGTCTTTTGTTTTTGTTTTAGTAGAGGTTTTACGGCGCTCGTAACAGCATAAGGTCAGAAGATTAGAGGTGTTACAAGAGAGTAACAAACATAAAAAAGAAAAAGGGGAGATAAGGACGATAGATGTTTGATAGGAAAGAAGAAGCAAACCATACTAGAGCCCCCGCCGTCCACCCATAATCATACCTTTCTTCAACTGTAAAGAGTAGGCCTACTGTATCAATTTCATGTACAGACCTCGGTAGTCTGATCTGTACACATGGCATCACTGGTGTAGAAACAAACAGCCCCTTCTTTACGTAACAAAATTTGAAACGTATGAAGAGTATGATATGTGTCATGACACGGTGAAATCAGGCGTTCGTCAATTTTGGGGCCTATGGAGTTAAGTATAATCTTGCAGTCTGTCCATTTGCTTTGCTTTTGATGAAAAAAATATTCATTTATCTTGGGTACATGTTAAGATATAGACTTATCTCCTTAGCTGGAGAGTATGTGGAAAGTGAAAGCTTACATCTTTTATGCCCTTAATCAACGTTTTTCAGTGAAATACACACAGAAATGTGTTCTTTAATGGGCATCAAAGGTGTTGAGCCAAAAAACAAAACTTTGATAAAAATTCCCAAACCTGCAGGAAAATGCCAGTTTCTTGACTTTCATTATTTTGACGAGCGCCTGATTTCACCACGCTGCCTCACATATGTAAGATGTTTGTTGATGCAGCCTGGCATGTACGCAGCACATTACAAAATGGGTCAAAGGTGATGAGCAAGAGGTGCAACCTGGTTCACAACATGGAGAGACAACTCATTTCACTGGGAAGCTGTTCAGCTGTGGTAATTCTAGAAAGAAAAATTTTTCAGGGGAGAAAATAAAAACTATTTCATTAACAAAAAACCCTAACTATTTCAGTATATATATCTTTTCTTATAGTCACAGTTTTCAACATTTAGACTTTGAATATCCACAAAACGTTTCTTGAGCACATACGACCAATATCATTACCAAGATAAAAAAACTGCAATCCAAAATTTTTGTTCCCAAATTTGGGGTTTTAAGGATTATGAACAAGCGATTGGCGAAATGATAAACTAAAGACATTTTGCTTTCTCATTTCAAGAGCAGGTCAAACCACAATTTCTCGACTTTTAATTGTGAACAAATGAACCATCATGACACAAAGTTTAAATAACAAAAAAAGAAGAAATCAATAGCACACCTTATACTCTTTCCTTCGAAGGTAAAACAATAAAAAGTTTGGAGGTCAACAGTTTGTTTGTCGGTAAATCTTTTTTTTTTCCAGATCCAAATTCATGTTTGTCTCGGATCATCGGATGTTATAAGAAATATTCCATATTTTAAGTATTTTGAAAAGACATAAAAAAAAAAAAATGATGTTGAGTTCATAAATGCAAGTTCACCACATGGGGACCACAGGAGTATTCACTGCCAACGAGGCATGTCTCTACATTAGGTAGAGAAAGGGAGAGAATGCCTGTGACACTTTTAAATCAGACGTACAGAACAGATACGTACTGGTACATATATACAGTAGAAACAAGTGATAGACTAGGTCAAGGTCAAAGAAAATCTTGAGCATTTTCTCAAAAGAAACACACATCTGAGGGCTAGAATTAGTGAATTTTTGACAAAAATGTTATTGTACAAATGACTGTAACTTTAAAACACAGTTGCCTCCTGATAAACTCAAAAGTTCATTCAAGGAACTTTCAAGCACTTTCCAGAAGAGTAGAGATTAAAAAAAAGTCTTGTCTTTTATCAAAATTACTGCAATAAATTATCAAATTTAGCAATCATAGTGTGAGCACCTTATAGAAAAATTGAAAATCAAATCAGCACACAAGAGAACGTAATGTTCAAGAACAGTGGCAAAAAATCCGCAGCTCCAGTTTTTAAAATCAATGTAGGCCTACTATTAATCTTTTTTATGATCAAAAATGCAAGTAAGTGATAAATGAAAATCTGAAAAAAACTTTTTTTTCAAAAGTATACAATTAGCTCTTCTGTCACTTGTTTATTTCCTACAAATTGTCTTTCTGTATGGAAAAATTCTGATGCTCTTAATCTTAAACTTCTGAGATAACGCAAACTTTATTCCTCTACACCATTAGCTTACTGATTCTCCTGTGTGCACTTACAATGAAAACATTAAGATTCCCTTCTTTCTTAATACATTGCATAACTTTTGTGCAAGAAAATGTTTCTCATTGCACCATAAATAGGTATACACATACACAGTTCAGCCATTTAATAAATTATTTTTCAATACCAGCAAATGACAGCATAGGCTACAGACAAAGCTTGCAGCTTGGGTATATAATGTTAATACTTGGAGTTTGGCAGGCTAGATCACCTGCATGATGACTATTTGAAACATTGAGATTCTTTAAAGCACAGTAAATGGGGCACACCACTTTGCGGCTCACACACTCTCACCAACAGATGCAGTTTCAAAACTCAAATTTACACACCATAGTAAAATACAGTACAAATTTATGTAATGATCTTCTGCTCCGTGAACCATGACAATGGCGGTTCCCCCCCTCCCCCCCTTCTACTAGGGCAAGAAACTCTCTTATTAGAATTGTTTTCTGTTATATAAATTGATATGTGCTCTACAGTAATGGTTATGCTGAAGCATATTTGAAATAACAAATTCTACTTTTATGCTTTAAATCTTAAAAAAAAGGGTAATGTCAATGAGTCTTGGCAACTCCTTTAACACAGTATATTAAAAAATATTAACAAAAGCCACTCAGAACATATCATAACCACAAGTTGAAAGGGTAATTCTTTGATACTTCATATGTGTTGAAAAATAAAAGGAACTAAATACATGTATGTACACACACCAATTTACTCTCATCCCTCTCACCACCCAAAGAAAAGCACAAAGCAAAAAACAAAAAAACCCAACAAAAAACAACACTCCCCAAAAAACAACAAAACCCAACGATCTCCTCACCCCATACGATTCAGAATGAAAATAGTATAAAATACATAAAAAAATAGAGGCTGAAGCAAGGTGTATATAACTTCAACAGGGCAAGATGCAGCAAGCAGCAAACCCCCCCTCCCCCTTCAACCCACACCAAACAATAATTAATCAGTAGGGTTGACTGTACCCCTTCCACTGTAGCCATCCTCAAAATTCATTTTCTATGACAGACCAGTATTTAACTAGATGGAAAATGAAAAAATATTTTTGTTTGGCAAATGAAATAGATCTAAGACTCATGAGGCTTAAAAAACTCAAATCAAAATAAGGCCAAAAGGTGTATTTTATGGGTATAAATAAGCTTAGAAAACAACAAAAAAACTGTGTACAATACCACAAGATGGAAACCCTAATTTCAAACTGATGAGCCATTCCTTTGATCAAGAAAAATCTGTCATTCAGTTATTTTTCAACATTCCCCCAAATACTGAGCTAGAAATGGGCCTCATCTTCCAATTTTACAGCATAAAATAGAACACATTGAAAAAATGACCAGATGAAGTGGAAAATTCAAGCTTACTTCTTGTGGCTTTAGCTGAAAAGGGAAACATTCAAAGTTCTGATTCTGACAAAGGTTTAGAGAAGTGAGTATCTATCTCTTGCAGTCTCACTATGAATTCTTTGTCAGTGGGTGGGACCTTGCCATTCTGATGTGGAGAGAATAGTAGTTTCTGACATTATATTAACCAACAACCACACAACAACCAGCAATAAAGTTAATTCAGTTGGGGCAAAATATTCCAGTGAAAAAAGAAGTCTAAAAAAAATATGTGGTTCTTAACTGTGAGTAAAAAGTGCACCTTGTCATATATGACGTACCGGTAATAAGGTCATAGCACTCGTTTAACACGTAAATGTGAAGCATATTATTTATATTTAATTTGATAAATGATAAGTTTCAAACTATAGATGTTTGGGCTTCTAACTGAAGCTCTTCATCCATATATATCATAATTTAGAACCCACTAGAATTGAAGTCACATGTAATGATTTAGTAATACATACATGTAATAATGAAGGATCTAAGAAATAACCCATATTGTCCAATACAGACCACTGCAAATGTACTGCACACTGAAAGTATGACAGAAGCAATGAGGCATTTAAATTAAAGCTTTGACAAAGCTACCATGCACCCACTCTAACTCAAGGGCTCACACTGTGTTAGCAGAGCCTGGTGTCCAAGCACATCAAATATATACCGGTATGTGATTGTTGAAATTCTCTATGTAACCCCATAACAAGCGTATACAGCACTCACTTACATATGATCACCATTGAGTTACTGGTGTGATAATAGTTACTTTTCAGTAATACTACTTGTAATTCACAGCAACGCTTAGGTCCATGGCAAATAAGCTTTTACTGCATCATAATGTCCTCTACATATTTTTATATTAAACCATTCTTATAGGAAAAGACCAATAAATAAAGACATCATTTTAACAAAAAGGGTGCATCTTCCTGAGGAGAAGACATAATATACATAAAAAATTCCTATTTTCCTGAAGCATACTAATTACAAAATTACAAACAGTCAAAACGGTTAAACGACCTCAGACACATTTAAAAGCACACATTTCTCTTTCCAAAGTAAAAACATTTTAAATGTGTGATCTGATTAGAAGATACACTCTTAGTACAATTATAAAGGACATTGAGGCATTTTGTTCTCTAGAATGTCTAGTTGAAAGCTCCATCACTCCTCCTACTGTTAAAAAAATCAATAAAAATTAATTTTTGATCATTTTGAGCAACATAATATCTTTTTGGTCCATTAGCACATGGCTGTAAATCTCCAGATTATCTACCAATGACTATTTGAATCAAAGCAAGGGAGACAAATCAACACATCTTGAGCGTGACACAGCCGTGGTAAGCCCGTCCCTCAGACATGGGGGTCACCTCGGTCCACTCTTCAGTCACTGGGTCAAAACATTCCACCAGGTCCGTGGGCTTGGAGTCAATCAAACCGCCCGTCACGTAAATCTTTCCATTCACGACGGACGCACCGCTGTGAATGCGGGAATGCCTGAGACTGGGAAGAAATTTGTATGTCCGTTTCTGAGCGTTCAGGGCAATCATTTTGCAGCTGTCCTCCCATATGATGTAGAAGACAGCATTAATGACAACGATCTGAGCGTACCGTATATTCTCGGGTAGCACAAACTGCTCACCTGAAGGGCGAATCGTGTCTCCCACAATGTGGTAGCTATCCATGGTTTTGACTATGGCCTCCTCTCCTTGAAGGCCTCCGACCTCCACAATTGTGTTGTTGTATGGGACGACACACGATTCCTTTCGCGGAAACATGGTCCTTCCTGCCGCGCTCCATTTATTGGTCACTGGGTTGTAACACTCGATCGTCTCCACACTCAGCATCTTGCGCTCATACCTGACACCACCGAGGACGTACATTTTGTCATCGATGATGGCAGCCGTGTGCCTGGCTCTTGGTTTGAGCATAGGGGACATGGAGTGCCATGATCTCTCCATTGCATCAAACTTCCAGACCTTTGAAATGATGTGGCCTTCATGAATGCCGCCTGCCACATAGATAGAGTTATTGAGCACAGCAATGCTGCACCAGGTAACCCGCAAGGGAAGGTCAGCCAGGTTGAACCATTTCTCTTTATGAGGGTCATACATCTCGACGCTGCAAGACAAAGAACTGTTGTAGGGAAGGCCGCCTAAAACCACCATCATCTCCTTGGCAACCGTTGAGGGACGGGGCTGGACGATGGAGTCCTGCATGCTTCGTCGCCGCTTCCCACCCTGAGTCTCGTGGAATGACTGCTTTAGCTGCTGAGCCTCCTGCACCAAGGTCAAGCACTTTTCCGAGGCACACACCAGCGGGTTGTTCTCGATGAGTTTCAGGTTGGAGAGGTCCAGCACAGCCAGTCTGACGTTCTCTAAGAGCTCCGACAGGTGTACCTCACGTGCATCCAAGTCAAATTTGATCCATCGCATGGCAGCATGAAACACGCTTTCTTCCGTTCTCACATCAATAAGGTCACTTGAAATGTATCCTTGTAGCCTATCTAGAGGTAAATCTAAAAACTCATCATTCTCTACAACTACAGTGAAATTTTCAAGAGCAAACTGGTGTGCTTTCTCCACAAGTCCTGTGCAAGAATGCAGATGAGCGAACATCTCAATACCTAGACAATTAGATGGGTGGAGCTGTTGTTCTAAAAAAGTTTCACAAGCTGAGACTATAGCCGGGTACTGGAACAGACAGGCAGCAGCAAGCATTTCTTGAGCATTGTTGGCGGTGATCTCAATCTTGCCACTGTACGCATAATCAATGACTAGCTTCAGTGTCCAAGGTGAGATGTCATTAAAGCTGATCTTGTTCTCACGACTTTCTTTGAGATCACTTGTAAACATGGCCTGGAAGTACGGGGAGCTAACGGCTAGAACATTCTTATGACAAGGAAACTCTTCTTGGCCCACACAGAGGACAGCGTCGGTGAAGAGAGATCCTAGTCGAAACTCATTCAGCTTCATGAGCATATTCGACCCGTATAAGTTGTCATGTAGAAGGTGGGAACCCACATCAGGTTGAGAGTCTGCTTGGGCAGCCATAGTCTTTGGTTGAGATTACTAGTCAAGTTTGACGTCTGCACACTGTGTGAGGAAGTAGGCCAAAAGAATCGGAGGAGTTCTCTTTGCAGATTATCCCATGCCTCTGCTGTGACTATTCTGTTTGACTCTACAGGATTACAATAAACACCTGGAACAAAGGAGCAAAAGAAAAGCTTTTCATTTTGAGTATAGAAAAATACTGAAAAATCGTTTGAAGCTCTGAAACAGTGTAATAATTAATATATCATTTTAAATATACTTAACCAGTGTCAGTTGTGTAGCAGTCCGGATTGCCATTGCTTGCAGAAGATCATTTCCGCAGATTTCTTATCGAGTATGTCTGTCATTCTTCTGAGATGTTCTATCCCTCTCACCCATTTTGGCTCTGTCACTACTGTCAGGCAGGGTCGAAACTCACCTCCTAAATGATCTAAAGTGAGTTAATGAGGGCATTAATCCAGTCATCATGAAATAACTCCACCCAAAAAATTCTCTCAAATATACCATACAGAAGCAAACAGGCAGTTTGTAAAAAAAAAAATAGAGCCTTATTAAAATGTGATCAACCAGACAGAAAATATTCAGTCTAAATATTGTAAGAGGAGAAAAGTGGCCGTCTACACAGGTAGCCATCTTTCATAGAGTCATTATAATGTAAAAAAAACAACAAAAAACGCAAAGGGGAAAATGGGAAGTGGCATTTTGTAGGGGACTGTCTTATACAGGTGAAAGTTGGAGCAGGTTCGACTGTATTGGGAAATCTACTAAAATGTATATATGTGTTTCAGAGTTCATCTTTCTTGAATACAAGTTTCAATCTGATTTTCATTCTGAAAAGTATTATAGGCAGCCCTTTTTCTTTTCAGTGACTCCTGCCTCGACATTTTTTTTCTCCTCTCCCTTTTCGCCCGATTCTGTTACTTTTAGTTACCGTGACTCAGCAGCTCGCCGGAGCTCCCTGGCTGGAGAGAGAGAGGGCAGAGAAATAGAGACGGTGAGTGCTCGATTGAAATTATGACATTGTTCTTTTGTTCAAATTGTGATTCCTCCAACTCCAAAATGGAGGAAAAACTATCGTTCATCGAAAAGACATCCGCAATCTTCATAATTTAGATCTAGAGCTAGATCTATAGGCTAGCCTCGAAACTAGAGCAATGGTTTATGTCTGTCTGTCTAGATCTAGAAGAATCTAGGTCTACCCTGAGCCAAGAAGGCGCTGAAACTTTCCGAAATCACAAAACAGTTCCGGGTCTGTGTATACTTTGTTCCCGGTTACCGGGTCTGTATACACTCCCATGAAAATAACGCCCTATCTTTCATAGCTTTCTATTTGAGCCATTGCCAAAACGTGGGGAAAAACACACACATCTCACATTAGTGTGCATAAAATGTGATGCATTAGTATTTATTCCTCCAAAACGTATACACACGTCAAATATAGGATGTAGAACCTGCATTAGCAGTTTCAGACCCCATGTCAGCTTTATAATCTTGAGTTTGTAAATTTTGTGCCAAAAATGTTCGTTTTTTAGTGATTCCTGGAGTGTCATTTTGAGCACACCAATGCAAACTTCCAAGAATGTCCAAAATTTAGTATTTTTGGGTGCTTTTTTTTACGTGTGCTTTGATCCTATGCTATTTGTCATTGAGAAAGGTTAACTTGCTCAAGAAATCGGTTTATTTGTTTGCAAATAGACGAACAATTCCGATTACTTGTGCGTTTGTCGTGTCGTCACGGACTAGGTGTTTAAAAAAACACCATTATTTTTCAGTAGAATCACCGTAACTGGTTAAATCTTTTTGCATATCGTCGTTTATTCAATACTTCAAAAGCCGCGATGCGCGAAAGGAACATCAGGTTCCTAGATCTACGATTTCGGTCGGTTGTTTAACATTCGCCGTTATTGTCGTCAATTTGCGTCATGCCGGAAGTCCGAATTTCGCCCACTTTTGTTTTGAACGGGTTATCAACAGTGCCCGGATATAATTGTTTTCTTGAGTGACTTCCCCTTACCCGCTTCCCCAAAACAACGGAAGCAACGGGGAAAACAGAAAAACGAAAGTAGTCATTGCCTTCAGTGTCCGGTGACGCACAAGAATTTTGCGTTGAATGTGACGTACTGGGCTGTTTTGCGTGTTTTTAGGCTACTCTGTTGAATATTTTAGTGAAATTGCGGTGTTTACACTGGATTCCTGGAACAAGAGTGTGATGTGTGAACAAACTTCGAGAGATGGATCATTTCTTTGGTTATAGATTTAGCTTTTGTGCTCAGTGATGGCGTTTGGGGTGTCGTCATGCAGCCGTACAAGACTGACTGACGTATGAGAAATTACATTGTCCTAAGAGCAAACATTTTTAAAGTAATGAGTGCTCTCTTTACTCAAACAAATAAACAAACATGTCCTTGTTTATCTGTCTAACTCAAAAATACACATTTGTTCTTTGTTGGTATGATATACCTTTTTCCAATACATTGTGTCATCATTGTTATGTACAAGTAATATTTGTCATCATTGCTAATATCAATAAGTTTTCAACATATATTTCATACATGCAAGATTCATTTAGAAGCAAAATACGCCTTTCTTGATCTGTGTATCTCTTGGTGCAAATTTGTTCTTTGTAGGCATGATTTTACCTTTTCCCAGTACGTTTTGTCATCACTGTTATGTACGAGTACTGTTTGTCATAATTAGCAACATAATTGTGATCGTCCACTGTCTTTGATATGACCTGATATCTGTTTCAAAGCAAAAGAAACCTCTCTTGTTTTTTTTTTAATTCTTAAAGTGCGCTTTTCTCTCTGGATGCAAGACTTTTGTCTTTTCCTGTACATTGTGTCATCATTGTTGTGTACAAGTCATGTTTGTCATCACAGTTCTGTACAGGTCAGCTCAATTGATTTTGTGCTTTTGCCTCATATTAGTTTAACTCACTTCAGACGGGTCACACAACAGTTGCGTGACCCCCGCCGCGACGGGTCTCACAAGCCCTGCGTGACCAACTTTGGAATTTTTTTTTCGCTCTACAAATCACGCACGGATCGCGAGACCCGCCTCGTACCCTTGTTTGGCCAAGCCTGAGCTACTTAGACTTCGTTTCGTATCTCTGGGGCCGGTAGTTTTTAAGTTATCGAAGTGACTATTTCTCCGAACGTTCGGAGAAATAGTGCCGATCTTTATTTCTCCGAACGGTTTTCGGCTTCCGGTCTCGTGATTTTTTGCCTATTTATTGCGAGAGTTCGGCGCCAACTTTCATTCTGCCTCTGGTCTGGGAAGGAACACGTACCGCATGGCAAGCCCGCCTACAGACAACCTTCAGTAACACCCACCACACACCCACCACCATCATGCACATGTACACACACTAACTAAACATAACTAGTGGGCAACTTTTGAACGTATGACGAGCTGAACTGTGGATGGAGAGACAGTGTGAGTGAAAGAGCGGGTGAAAGGAAGAATGTGTGAGTGTATCCACAGGCGACAGCAACTACAAGACGACGACACTGACCACCCCTGGCCTGGTCCACAGCTCACGAACAAAAGGAATGCAGCTCAGGCGGTGTTTTGCCTATATTATTGTCCATGGTTCGCAGGGAACAAGTGAGATTTTCTTTGTGTGTGCCTGGAGGGATGGGGTGGGGTATGAAAGTCATGCGGACGGGGATGAGCCGCGGGAGAGAACACGGGAATTGAATGAAAGAGTGAAACTGAAAGAGACGAATGACTCATGAGTCCTGGAGTGAATGGATCCTGTGTTTCTATTTTTGTATACTTTGAACTGTTACTGAATAAAGGCTGAAATAAAGCCCGAAAAACAAACAAACACACACACACACTCCTCACTCTCCACTTACTACCACACACAGACACACTCAAACACTCACACATACATACACACACACACACACACACACACAGGAGCAAATTTTTGGGTCTATATCTATTTCAATTTTCAACAGCTAGTCTAGATGAGATTTTTAGATGAGTGTAAAAACGTGAAAAAGAAAGGTTTCACAACAGAAAGAAATCAAAATTAGAACAGCCCATAAACAACAACAAACATTAACAAATAAGGGCGTGTGTCCACCTGTCCGAAGAAGATTGGCAGTTTTAACCCTAAATGTGCGTAATTTTTAAAAAAGTACAGGATATTACATGTAAATTATGGAATCACACACATTAAGGGGCTTGCCAGTGTCAGTACATTGGTCGCAGCAGTGACAAACGCAGATGCCAGTTCTATGTGTCGTTATCAATTATAACCCTCCGTAGATCTAGATCTAGACAGCACACGAGTGAACACAACACATTACGTTTAAAAGCAGCACCTTTCATAGGCAACACGTCATATCTATAGCGAAAAACTGTTTGGAATTGTAGCATTTCTTTATATAAATATTTACGGCGGACATTTTTTGGACCGATTGAACCATATTGTATACGAACAATCTTTGGTAGGCCCATACTATAATTATAGATCTCTATATAATATCCGAAATTTGGGGGAAAGGATGATATTTCAGAGTGTTCGGAGAAATAGTGCCCAGCTTTATTTTCCTGAACGTTCGGAGAAATAGTGCCCAGCTTTATTTTCCTGAACGTTCGGAGAAATAGTGCCCAGCTTTATTTTCCCGAACGTTCGGAGAAATAGTGCCCAGCTTTATTTTCCCGAACGTTCGGAGAAATAGTGCCGGCCTTAAGTTATTGAAGGCGAAGGACAGTGACCCCAACTGGGGTTGAACAGACCGGAACTTGCGCTTTGTTTTTTTCTATACAGCTGATAGTAATCCGACAGTCGCGTCGTAGTAACGGTCGAAGAAGTCGCATGAACAAGAATCACATAATTTCACCGTTTTCTATACTTCTGTGCGTTTTACTAGTTCTAGTGTCTCAGAATATGATGTGTCTAATTGTTAGGATCCTGGATATGTACCCGAACACGGCCCGAGTCGTAGTTCTAGGGCTAGATCTAGCACTAGTACCAGTGTTGTTTTTCGCGCAACGAAATCACAAAGTCGTGTCGTACATCTGTCTCATGTAATTCAGTGTATGGGTCTGAATCAATGCACAGACCAGCTTTGATATTTTCACCAAACACTCGCACATGTATACAAATCAAACCAGAACACTTTGAACTTTTATTTTTGTTGTTGCAGTGAATTTCATTCTACTTGTCACGTCATTGGACTATTCTTGCCCCGGGTGAGAATAGAGGTGGCCGTGCTAAAAAGTATAAAGATCACCGCGTGACGCGGGACCAGAATTGAACGAGAAATGATGCTAGGCGCACATGTGCTGAGCCAGGGGCCAGACTGACGTGGGACCAGAACGCAAGTGAGGTGCCGAAATAGGCTTATCGGGCGACATAAACTCGGCCTCCGCAGAACGAGGGTCAAATTAGTTGAGTTTCATCGTCCGTCAGCCAAGACAGTGAGTGAGAACACTGCCACCGAGTCGTGGCTGATTCAGCGAGAAGATTGCAAATTAAAAACTTAATTTTGTTGCTACCAACTCATTAAAAAGAACCATAAGAAACGTAATATCCTTAAATAAAACAGAACCGGCTGGAAGAACGAGTTTTCGTGTCTAGAACTGCTGTTACCTTGTTGACACGGTCAGCGCCATATTGGCATACACCGGAAGTGATAATCTTCGTGTTTCAATGCATTAGGTGTTTTTTGAGTGCGGGTTTTTTTTCTCTTGTTTAGAAAGGAGAGTGACACTAGGAAATTTTTTCCGCTTGTCCCTCGAACGGTCAGGAAAAAATTGTGACATTCTATGCTTCTAGAGTTATATGTTGTGCCTGAAAGAAAAAAATAGAGCCTCTGAATAATAATTTAATATGTTCAAAATTATCCACATTAAATATTTTCGGTTACTGTGGGTATTGTGTTGATGTCAATTGCAACCGCACATTACCGCACATAGCCGCGCGAGAATTTAATCAAGATGGATGCGGGCCTGACAAGACGAACGAAAGCGACGATGTTTGTGGCTCCAAAAGATCATTCTACACCCAAGCATCATTCAGTAAGTAGAGTATTAATTATTTGTATTGTACCTTTAAATTATTGTTATAGGGTGAAAAGTAAGAAATTCCCCCAGATCCACCCTATTGATTATTATAATGGAACAGTACTGTTGAGTGAGAGCGATTCAATCGCCGATTGATCAGTGAGTGAGGCGGAGGGAGAAGAGGATCGAATCGGGTCCTGAAGAGTAGACTTTAGTAGAGATAGGGGTAGATCTACATTTAGATCTAGAAGTAGAAGAATCTATAGGCTAGTCCAAGTCAGTGTAGTGTAGGCCCAAGTGTAAGGCTTTAGATGAAAGTGGCTATTCTCACCTGCCCGGAAGTTCTCGCAAGATCAACTCCTCCCCTCTTCTCTCTCTCTCTGTCTCTTTCTGAATACACTGTCTATCGGTGTGGACAATCAAATTAACCAAAACAAAGTTAAAAAATGATGTTAAAACACAAAAGTAAATTAATTTGGTTGTCTACAAAGATGCTACGGCTATTTAACTTTTCGAATCGAGCCGAACTACGCGGGTCGCCATTTTGTTTTGCCCGGAAATTCTCGCGCTACTCCTCTCTCTCTTTCTCTCTCTCTCTCTCTCTCTCCACTGCCCACAGACAAAATTGTAGGCTTTTAGTAGGCTACAGTTGTAATGGAACGTTTGTTCACGGCACAGAATTTTACAATTTTTCTGTTATCACAGTGTAGAATTCTGTGGTTTAGGCAGGGTGAACGCAAAATTTGGTGAACGCGCACCGGGTGAGAATAGCCACAAGACTTGCCTGCACTATTCTCACTCCGGGTGAGAATAGAGGTGGCCTAACCTAAGTTTATATATATATAGGCCTACACACAAATTCAAAGATTTTACTTTTAAAATAACCCTTAAGATTCTGGTCCCTGTTAAATGTTTGCCCGATAAGCGCAATCCCGCGCGGCGCTCCACAGCTGGTCCCTGATCAGTCGTCGTCCCGTGCGGGCAACGCATTTCGTTTACGGCGGAGTCTGCATCTGTGTGCTAAAATGTGTGTGCGTCAATCTGCTTGTGCCTGAGTGTCCATCTCAAACTTACTGCATTGTTTTGCAACGGGAGGCGTTGGTAGAGATAACAGAGCGTCGGTTGAGACGTTCATCCAATGAAATATGAGCATTTTGACCCAGTTAGACACTTGAGGGACTCGAAAGGATATTCAGGAACTATGACTTTTCATCTTTCAATGCGAACACCTTTCCTCACTTTTCAAACGATCTAATTCATCTTACACCAAACGTAGTGTCCTGATGTAAATAATCATATTTGGTGGTTTTTGAACCATTGTCCTACCAGTGGGAGACATTTGAGAGCAACTGAATAAAAAAAATATTAGGAAATTATCCCATTTTTTCCCCCTTTCGAACGATAGCTGAAGCAGCTGTTCACAAGTTCATTCATAATAGGTGTGAAATCTGGAAAACTCTGGAAAAGTTATTCGATTTGGTGTAACTTCCAATCTCAGCGTCTCTGATCTACCGACGAGGGGATAATGGGATTATTCGTGTGATCGTAACACTTATTCATTGATTGTATCAGTTTGCTATTAAAGATGAGGTGTTTCCCTGACCTGCCGCGGCACGCTCGCGTGACCAGTGCCTGACCCCGGCGCCCCGCGGCACAAGCCAGCAAGCGACGTAAGTGGGTCATCGATCAATAAGAGCCCTCTTCCGGTTAACCCCGCAGGACTAGAGTTAATTTGCTGTGTCAGAAAGCTTAAATAAATTACTTTACGAAGTGACTATTTCTCCGAACGTTCGGATAAATAGTGCAGATCTTTATTTCTCCGAACGGTTTCCGGCTTCCGGTCTCGTGGTTTTTTGCCTATTTATTGCGAGAGTTCGGCGCCAACTTTCATTCTGCCTCTGGTCTGGGATTGGGAAGGAACACCACATGGCAAGCCCGCCTACAGACAACCTTCAGTTACTCCCACCACACACCCACCACCATCATGCACATCATGTACACACACAAACATATACACACACTAACTAAACATGATCAGTGGGCAACTTTTGAACGTATGACAAGCTGAGCTGTGGATGGAGAGACAGTGTGAGTGAAAGAGCAGGTGAAAGGAAGAATGCATCCATGTACGAGTGTATCCACAGGCGACAGCAACTACAAGACGACGACACCGACCCCCCTGGCCTGGTCCACAGCTCACGAACGAAAGGAATGCGGCTAAGGCAGTGTTTTGCCTATATTATTGTCCATGGTTCGCAGGGTGTAAGGCAATGAGTGAGATTTTCTTTGTGTGTGCCTGGAGGGAGGGGGTGGGGTGTGAAAGTCATGCGGACGGGGATGAGCTGTGGGAGAGAACACGGGAATTGAATGAATGAGTGAAACTGAAAGAGAGGAACGACTCATGAGCCCTGGAGTGAATGTATCCTGTGTTTCTGTGTTTGTATACTTTGAACTGTTACACTGTTACTGAATAAAGGCTGAAATAAAGCCCGAAAAACAAACACACGCACGCTCCTCACTCTCCACTTACACACTTACTACCACACACAGACACACTCACACACGCACATGCATATACACACACACACACAGAAGCAAATTGTCTATATATATAGGTCTATATCTATTTCAATTTTCAAGAGCTAGTCTGGCTAGTCTAGAGATTTTTAGATGAATGTAAAAACGTGAAAAAGAAAGGTTTCACAACAGAATGAAATCAAAATTAGAACAGCCCATAAACAACCATAAAAATTAACAAATAAGGGCGTGAGTCCACCTGTTCGAAGAAGATTGGCTGTTTTAACACTAAATGTGCGTAATTTTAAGACAAAGTACAGGATATTACTTTACAAGTAAATTATGGAATCACACACATTAAGGGGCCTGCCAGTGTCAGTACATTGATCGGTTTTGGTGGAACGTACGCTCTAACATAACACATTTAAATCTATATATATACATGTATATAATATATATCTAGAATCTAATGAAGGTGGGAACATCAAATTAAATGACACTATACAACACCTCTCCCCCCCCCCCCCCTTTTTTTTTCCCCCCCATTAAAAAATTGATAGAAAAACAACACATCAGAACAATAACAAGAAAGACAAAAATACACACTAACAAAATGAAAGACCACAAAGAGGGAAAAATAAAAGTAACTGTAACGTATTCAACAAATCAACGTGGTGACAACAAGTGAGAAAGAGACGAAGTGAAGCTAGGTGAACATTCTTTCAAAAGTAAAGAGGTTCGGTTTCTTTCTTTTTTTCTTCTTTTTTCCTTTGACTTTTGTTTATTGTTTGTTTAGTATAGGGTTTTACGGCGCTCGCAACTGCATAAGGTCATATGAGCGCGCGGGACACACCTAATACTTTTTCGTTGGTAGGAAATTTTGAATTTTGCCCGGGTGGCGGCCGAAGCCTACTCTTGTCGATTTTAGACCGCCAAGGGATCTTTAACGTGCGCAACTTGCACACGGGCCCTCCGAGATTTTTCGCCCTTGTCCGAGAAGGCTAGGTGTAGATCTTTCCTACCAGAAGATCAGGGGTGTGGCAGAAAGACAGCAGTTAGGAGGAGCCAAGGAGTAGCAGTAGAAAGGCTGCAGAAAGAGTCAGGAGCCCAGAGGAGGGGGCAAAGGAGGTGAGGGGGTGGGGGCAGAAAGTGGAAATGAAAGCAGACAACAGAACATTGTTAGAGATCAGGAAAGGATGTGAAAGGAGACAATTTTAGAGAAGAAAATTTTTTGGTCGCTACCGGGAATCGAACCCGGGACCTTTGAATGACAGGCCAACACCTTAACCTCTAGGCCACGAGAGCCCCCCCTTTGACTTTTATTCTCCGATTTGGGGACCAAAAAATGCCAAAAAGTCGAGCCACGATTGATTGGTCACGGCAGCGACAAACGCAGATGTCTATGCTAGTTCTATGTGTCGTTATCAATAACCCTCCTTTAGATCTAGATCTAGACAGCACTCGAGTGAACACAACACATTAAGTTAATTAAGTTTAAGAGCAGCACCCTTCATAGGCAACAACGTCATATCTGTAGCTAAAAACTGTTTGAAACTAGCATTTCTTTATTTATAAATATTTACTGCGGACATTTTTTGGACTGATTGAACCATATTGTATACGAACAATCTTTGGTAGGCCTATACTATAAAATTTATAGATCTACATAATATCCGAAATTTGCGGAAAGGATGTGATTTCAGAGTGTTCGGAGAAATAGTGCCCAGCTTTATTTTCTCGAACGTTCGGAGAAATAGTGCCGGCCTTTACTTTATGTATAAATTCAGGGAGGACTTGTGTAACGAGCAACCACTATGATGAGACAGTAGGCCCCTAGAAGTTGAGAAGTGTAATGTATACATACAGTACAGACCCGGTAACTGGGAACAAAGTCACGAAGTATACAGACCCGGTGACCGGGAACACAGTCACGAAGTATGCAGACCCGGTAGGGAAATCTTTTGTGATTTTGGAAAGTTTCAGCGCCCAGACCCGGTATAGTGTGTGTGTGTGTGTGTGTGTGTGTGTAAGAGAGAGAGAAGAGAAGGTAGAAAATAGGGGGAAGTGCTCGCAAATTTATATCAAGATCTACACCTAGCCTTCT